GAATGATATTGATTCTGGTGAAACATGTAATACAGAGCATAATCTAGGACAATCAATTCAGAGTTCAGAGAATGAAAACCAAAATTAAGAGCACCTTTAACACTGGCTGAATCATTCTGGAATATGGCAAGTTAAATTCTGGAAAACAAGGAATTAGTCAAATAGTGTTTATACCATTGTGGAATGCCACATGTTTGTAACTGTAACAGGAACTGATACAGCAATGTGCAAGCACTCTGTATAGAATTTCAGTAAGTATTTATTCAATAATAAAATAAAAGCCACTTGTGCATCAGTATTCTTCTGTTAAATTGTACCACAATTGGTCACCAGGGGATCACTTAAAGATAGTATTTGGCAAATAAAAGAAGTTAAACATGAGGGTCGATATAAAAGAGGAGAGATCCTTTTTGTTGGTAGGTGCGTTCACTGTCTGTACCAGACTTAACTCTGCAATAGAAGAGGAAAGGGGTTAACCCCTTTCTGACAATAAAGCACTGGACAGTACTATCCCGTTTCTGACAGTAAAGCAGTGGAGTACTAACCCCTTTCTGACAGTAAAGCAGTGGAGTACTAACCCCTTTCTGACAATACAGCACTGGACACAGTAAGGCAGTGGAGTACTAACCCGTTTCTGACAGTAAAGCAGTGGAGTACTAACCCCTTTGAACCAGTAAGGTAGTGGAGTACTAACCCCTTCCTGACAGTAAACCAGCTGAGTACTAACCCCTTTCTGACAGTAAAGTATGAAGGAACTGTATGAAGGCACTGGCGCAGACCAGGTGTGAGAGATCTTATTTTATCGCTAGATGCAAAGCACATCAAAGATTGTCTCAATAAGACACAGGGCAGTCATTCAAAACCATGATGGAAGGCAGAGGTTGGTGGGCTGTCAAAGGGGTCGGGCGGTCAGTGCTGGCTGTCAGTAGGCTGAAATGGTCCTCAGTATTGGTAATCCGGGTGAAGGTCAGACAATCGTCAAGGACAGTAAGTGGGCTGGGCAAGGCTCGGAGTCTAGGGGGCAAAGCAGAGCTCACTACACAGAAGGGTAGGGAAATGCATAGGAGAAAATGCACAATCTCAAGAAAAACCATGAAGATCTCACATCTGGCCAGCAAGCCGCACACCCAGAAATAGGAGACTAACGAGAGGAAAACAGAACACAGCTGGGCAGGGCATGGTCCCAAAGTGGAACCACTGGTGTCATTATGGAACGTGATGGACTGGCTTCCATGGGCGGGCGTGTCCTGTCAGCTAGATTTCCCCAAGGGGGCAGATGTTGAGACGTAGATGGGACATTCCTGGAGCGGTATATGACAGTTACGCAGTGGCATACTAACCCCTTTCTGACAATAAAGCAGTTGCATACTAATACTCCACTGCCTTACTGTCACGGCGGATTCTGCAGCTCTGTTGTTCATCTCTATATCTAATAACATTGTGTGGGTAACTTGGAGAGCTCCCAGTGCTGAATTAGCCAGTGTTTTCTTTACACTGAGAACTCTCCACTCATCCAGACTTTTTATCCCCATTCCACCTTGCTCTTGTTTACACTTAATTGAATGAAGTTTGTGCACTTGTTTATATTTTCTAATTGAAAGTAATGTACAATTAAGCTTACGGGTAATCAATACAATTGCCCCTTCACATGTTCAATAAGTCATAATTTACAGAATATATTTCTGCTAACAATAGAATAATACACTGAATGTAAGTGTAATGTGGTAGAAACAATGCGCTACTTTTAGTGGGGATGGCTGAATGAAACAGATTGTCAAATAAATGGGAGATTAAAGTAAAGCGCTTCTTTAGGAAAGCATTTAGGAGGCTTTCGGCACTCCTTGGCTGAAGTGCCTTTTAAAGTAGAGGGTTCGTGGGTCTCTCGAGTAGTATATGGCATTCTGTAATCTCTAAGGTGAGGGAAGCTTGGTCCACCGCAAAGAGGCCAGGAACAGGAGACACCAGCAGATATCTTCATGTTGAAAACCACAGCAACCCTGATGGAGCATAAAGCATGAAGTATGTTCACTTTGTTCAGTTCAACCCTGTGTTCATGCACTAAGACTTTGTACTTGAAACAGACTGAAGTGGCAAAATTATGGAGCTCAGGAAGGTGAACTATGTTAAAAGTGAGAGAAAAGAGAGTGAGAAAATCCACCAGGTGCAGTAGTGCTATGAGTAAACTGGATAGATCTGTTGATGTAGCTGGAAGCTCTATTCTAGTGTTATCTGCAGTGGTGCTGACTGGAGATGACCAGCTCTGGTTAGAGCAGTAACAGCAATTTAAGCAAGGAACTCACTATATGGGCAAAAGTGATTAATTGTTAACACACCACAGCCCAACAATGAAATGTATCCTTTACATTTAACCCAAATGTGATATAACAGCAGGCAGCTAATTTAGCACCCCAGAAACAGCACTTTGCTTAGGATTCCTCCCTAGTCAGGGATTCAAACCAACAACCTTCCAATCACAAGTGTGCTTCCCTAACCATTAGACCACCACTGCCCCAAAAAGTACTGGAACACCTGGCCATTATACCCAGAGGAACTATTATTACATTCCATTCTAAATCCATAGGTCTCAATAAGGAGTTTGTCCCCCCTGTGCAGCTATAAGAGCTGCCATCCTTCTGGGAAGGCTTTCCACAAGATTGAACTGTCCAAAATGTCTTGATATGTGTGGGGGTTTGCTAATTTATAAAGTTCTACAGCCTAAATATTGTTACATGCTGGGTAAATGATGTCCATTTGAATGTTTTACTTATGTTAGTCACAAGTATTGTTACATATATAAAATATGCATTGTAGAAACCCTCATCTGAAGGAAGGATCAAATTCACTGTATTAACAAAATCTTATGTTTCTTTTGGTCTGTTGGTGAGAATCTGACAAATTTTGCCTCAGTATTTACAGAGTACTTACAGAGTGAAATCTCCTACAAGTCGATCACATAAAAATAATATTTCTGTGAAATGAAAGAGGGAATTGTCGTTTTTAAACATTATCTATTCACAATTATTTTAATGGAGGGGACTGATTCATTTATCTAATGCTATGTTACTTAGGCATTATATTATCACATAGTGTTGTAGTTCTCGAGACCGGTCTCGAGACCAATTTTTTGTGGTCTCGGTCTTGTCTTGGTCTCGACTCTATTTGGTCTCGGTCTTGTCTTGGTCTCGGACATAGCGGTCTCGATGGGATGGGGAAAAAAAGAGAAAACTGCACATCCTCACAGAACAGTATCATTATTTATTACGCGCCTCAATTCAAATGCAACCAGTCAGATGCATCCATTTCAAAAATGTTACATTTTATACATTTTCTTCACGGACACTGCCAGTGCTTCACAGTCCACACACATCATACACATCGTATCATACATCGGCAAAGAAATGTCCGAAAATGTCCGCGAAGTCTATAGCATAGTTATAATCCAAATAAATTAGGTATTTTACATTGATTACGAAGCACGGTCTTGGAGGTGCAAGTCAATCTGGAGGCTCATTCTCTCCATTCTCTTCAATTCAAAGCAAAGGATCATTACATAGCTGTATTCATAGCTTACCCGAGGCCTCTGTCCCTGGTATAAGAGACTTAATATGAACATCTTTCTGGTACATCCCATCTCTTTCCCTTGACGAGATCTGATAAAATGGTTATAGGAGAGGATTGCTGAGAATATTATTTTCCATCAGGTCTCGTAACTATGACAAATCTGGGAGATTCTAAATGAGAGACATATGGACATATGGACAATATAATTGAAAAGATAACATGAATTTGATTTAACGAGTAATGACACTTTACAACAATACCTTTTTTCTCTACAGTTGATCTGGGTAATGTGATGTCGATTCTAGCCCTAGTCTGTTTTCGGTCTTGGTCTTGGTCTCGACCAGTCTTGGTCTTGGTCTCGCCTTAGTGTGTCTTGGTCTTGGTCTTGGACTTGGTCTTGGTCTTGGTACCCTCAAGTCTCGGCAGTGTCTTGGTCTTGATACCCTCCGGTCTCGGCAATGTCTTGGTCTCGGTTTAGGCGGTCTTGACTACAACACTATTATCACATAATAAACAAAGGAATTATCAGCAGGTAGTGTGAATGGGTAAATAAACAAAAACAAATAGAACAGAACTGCTGTAAACAAGTTGTTTTACGTTTTTAATATCTTTTCAACGTTTAATGTAAAGTACTGTACGATATGTTAGCTTTTGACTTATGGAAAAAGGCATCATTTTATAAGTACTAGCTTTTAATTCTCTGCGTTGTTCAGCGATGTGTTTAGTGCGTCCATCTTGTGCAGCTTCCTAGCCTAGAGTGATCTGATGTTGCGTATGTCGGTCTCCGATGTTGAAGATTCATTCTTTGCAATGCATATTATCGGACTCATTGCTTGTTCCTTAAGGGATTGGGCAAACCCATGACATGCAGTCTCCCCAAAGTTTACGTGCCAATTTTATTATGGCTCTCCACTCCCCCTTGTGGACAAATATTAGTTGTCAAAACCACAAAGGAACAACTGATTCGGTTTAAATGACACTGTACTCAGGTGTCCTGTAAAGGGAAAGAAAGTTAGGAGGATTCCAAGGTCTCCTGTCAGAATTTGGAACATAATTCAGGGTTGGTCTGGGTTGAAATATTCATTATATATTTTGAAATAGTTATACTTTGAAACAATGAAACAAAGAAGTATGTGTAGTGTATAATTCCCCTCGGAACCCAAATCTCACTGTCTTCATTTAGACAAGGTTAAGTAATACGATTTTCATGATCCAAGCTTTTAATGTATACATGCATGAAATGCACGGACATGCATCTCTGAATTTGGTCACCAGGTTTAATATTTAAGTAGTACTTTTAGATTTTATACTATGGTCTTCTAGGTTGTAGAACTCAGTTGTATATCAATAAATTCATCATTATTTGGTGATTCATGCAGTGAATGTGAAGTAAGTGATGTGATCCAGAAAAGGTTTATGGAGTTTGCTTTTTTGCACAGCCACCTAGGGGGGAGGACACTTCCAGCCAGCAGGTGGCACTGTGGGCTGTGGGGCTCCAGCAGCAGCAGCCAGCCCCAGAGCATGTGGCCCTGTCTGGTGTCACCAAGAGAGTGGAGACAGGCACACTTGGAAAGCTCACCATCTGCAAAGAAGATGATGTCATCACCACTTCTCCGCCCCCCCACAAGGTAAATACCTTGATGTCAATTTGCTCTTTCAATAATTAGCTGTTTGCTTTTTTGCTGTTGAGTGATTATTTACATTTTATGCAATATATTTATCTGTTGTCATTTATTGTGCACTGTAGATTATATAACTGTTATATCTTTAGATAAGTATATCTGTCAAATAAATATTTATGTTTGTATGCTTATTAATTAAATAACTAAATATAAAATAATTTATGTTTATTAGATGAGTAGCAGGGCCCAAAGCAGTTACATGCTTTATTTTTTTCAAAGCTCCAATTATGTACTGCATCTCGGGATGACTGTATTGAATTATCAATTGATGTCTGTTTACCGACTTGTTTTTCTTAGGTGACCTATGGAGATTTCCTGGTGGTGAAGGGGGACGCCATAGCAACAACCCAGAGGCAGGAAAGGTTACTTAAACAGCGCAGATCCTTGCAAGGTCTTTCCTACTTGGCAACATGGAAGCCCAAGACCAAGTAAGACTTTCGTCTCATCAGTGATGCGTGGCATTCAAACACTTAGAATCATACCTGCAGCCTGAGCTCCAAGCTACTTTAAGTATATTTATGCTATATATTAAATGAATAGTAAGTGCATAAATTGATTCTCTTTATTTTTCTTATCCATTCATTCATTAATGCATTCATCTGCCCAGTGCTTATCCAATACAACTTATCGGGGAGTCTGTAGCCTGTCCGGGCAGTAGGCAGGGGACACCCGGAACAGGATGCTACTCCATTGTACGGCACATATGCGGCAGCACACAATCACATGCTACAGGCTATTGAGAGACACTGATTTACCTGCATGTCCATGCACTGTGGAAGGAAAACTGGTGAGCAGAGGAAACTGGTGTAGCACAAGGTGAACATGCAAACTCCACACAAACGCTGTGCACTGTGCTCGCTGCAAGCTCCACACACATGCTGTGCACTATGCATGCTGCAAACTCCACACAAACGCTGTGCACTGTGCTCGCTGCAAGCTCCACACACATGCTGTGCACTGTGCACATTGTAAACTCCACACACAAGCTGTGCACTGTGCTCCCTGCAAGTTCCACACACATGCTGTGCACTATGCATGCTGCAAACTCCACACAAACGCTGTGCACTGTGCTCGCTGCAAGCTCCACACACATGCTGTGCACTGTGCATGCTGCAAACTCCACACAAACGCTGTGCACTGTGCTCGCTGCAAGCTCCACACACA